TTATTCATGTTAAATGTTGAAGTTATTTAAATTCAGTGAAACATTTGCCATAATTTCCACTTTGGAAGTGAATGGTTGTTAAAAGGCCTACAACTCTCATCGATTTATTTGAGAAATGAATACATTATAAAGCGAAATTTGGTTGTTAATCAGAATTTCATTGTTGTTACTGGGTTACTTTGATGACGCGGGCAGATGTGGTAGGTGCATACTGATACGGATACGAACGAGCTTCTTATGGAAATCTGTAAGTCCGGTTACCTCTCGCATGACCGGAGAGCCATCAATCTAAGATGATAACAAAACCATACATACTAATACAAAGGTGATGTGTTGTTTGCTACCCGAATCGCGACCCCACAAGATATCTCTTGTTTTTGCATTCTTACTTTTTACCCCGTATGTCATGCAGAGTGTGCCCGGGTGGTCCTTGAGAAGAAATAACTTCATTTCCTGCTTTACCACCCAAACCAATCTTCAACAGAATGCCAGCATTATGCGTTGATGGTAAGTAGTTATCTTTCCTTTCCTGGCCCATTAAAGTCGAACGCACTTCCACACGTGTCAGGCACGCAGTTTCTTACTTTGAACCACCAAGGAATTAGCAGATCCACAAAACTCGTATCATAATTACGCTTGTTAAACAAGCGGGTAGAACATAAGGTTGACGGAAACTCGGGGATTGTGCCTACGTGATAAGCCCCAAAAAGGGCGAAACCGGTCGTGGGCTGCCGACGAATTTTCAGCAACCTTGTGAGTGGTGCATCACAAACAAACAAGCGGGTTCTCCAAGATTTCCTGGCTTTATCAACAGTTAAAACTCAGTTTTACCTTCGATATGGGTTAAAAACTCCAGGCATTGTGCACATGTGGCCCTGAGCGGTACGTTTACCTGCCAACAGTAAACTGGAACTGCGAGTACGAGTGTCATAATTTCATCCTCAGCAGTTCGGCCTTTTTTTAACAACTGTGGCTGCAAAAATCAATCCACAGCGGATGAAACCCAGCTTGAATTATTCTCTCCGTCAATTTGCATATATAATTTTCCACTCCGGATCCGGACAAATAAAAGTGTAGTCACCCATAACTTCTTGGGCATTATTGCCTGCTTGTTGGTGATACTCGCAAAAGAAGTGACAGGGTGTATATTGAATAATAATCATCCCTCGAGGAATAGAACTATGGTCTCAATAGACTAGTTCCGCTGGATGCTAATTTTCTGCTTTATTAAGTGAATTATTTGGGGCCCGTAGCTATGAATGAATGACTATTTGTTTACGATTTATTCTCAGTCCGGAAAGGAAATGTTTCCGTATCTGACAGTCTGCTGAGGAACCACAACATCAGGGATACTGATAGATTTCGACATAGCCACGAATATCAGCGGACTAGCTTGCACAAAGCTGTAAATAGTGCGGAAGGCAACTGCTAATGTCAAAACAACACGCATGTTCAGTCAGCCCTATATCGGGCGATAAACCTGACAGACGGATTAATTTAATCAGAAGCTTAGCGAAAACAAATACCTGTAGGACATAACATTTCCTAAACCGGGACCTACCTCAGATCCGCTACAAATTCTACGGACTCCATGCACCGAAAACTTCATCAGCACATAGTTGACTCAGTGGTATGAACTATGTTAATATATGTCAGATCTACAGCCCAATAGGATTACATCTCCCTTCGATCTTCGTAGCCGCCAATTTCACAGAAGTACCCATGAATTACTATGGAGACGATCGATCACGACATCTGGTCAACCCTATCGTGGAATAACCATGGTGTTCTTTTGTGTAATTCAACACAGATAGCTAGGAGTCTATAGCTCAGAGATTATGCAAGCGGTTGAACCAGATCACAGCAGCTTTTTAGTTTTCCGTTACTCTTGTCCTCATGTCTATTCACTTTTTATGGAGGGTTCAGCTCGACTAATTATCCGTGATGATTATGTTGTGTTCCGAAACATGTTAAGGTGTTCAAATTTGATCAGAGCACTGATTCCAAGAAACATTTCCATGTAAGTTGTGAGGACGAACACATGCTGCCTGGAGATGCAGCTTATTACAACAGGAATTCCATTTATTTTATTCTTACTCAATTGGGTTCGTTGTTGTTTCGTTCAAGAACTGCCCCCCGCAAGCATTGTGAATGGCTTTCAACTCACCTGTCCTGCTACATCAAATTATGAATGACTGCCAGCGCTTGGTAATAACGTCTTCTGAAGAGTATTTGCAGGGCTCGCTTGATTACAAGCGACTTCACTTAGAAAGCAACGAATGAAAAACTCAAGCATCCGTGATGTCCTGTTGCTGATGCGCATTGCTGAGTTTATCGTTACTTGGAGAAGCTAAAAGGCCGGATTACAATCAACACAAAAATGTGGAGCTGATTTAAATTCATTGCAACTAAGTCGAAGTAAAACATTTTTATATGAAATACCGGATACAGTCGTATTAATCCTTGTGTAGCTGGATTTTACTCACATATTTCACCGCCCATCATATACAGAAATTGAACATAATTCGACTAGGCCCTGTCAGATCCCATTTAACTCGCACTACTCATAAGTAGCGACTTGCAAGTGAATTTCGCCCGCTAGGTGGGAATACTCAGATGTCAACGGAATGTGAGAGACGGGGCAGCGGAAACACCTATATACCACCTGGAATCCTCATTTTAATGTTAAAATAAGTGGCGAAAGTAAGCCGGGAACTCCCGCAACATATCTGTCAAATGATGTATTTTGGTCACACCAACAAAACGCGAGCATTACTCTTAGTTTAACCTATCGTCCGATTTTGATAAATCTGTAAATACAACCTTCAGTATACGAAACTCAAGTTGTTTTCATTAATCCTATTGTCCCACGCCACTAAGTCTTTCTTTGGTTATTATCAACCCCTGCAAGGCTATTCGCAAATCAGCTGTCTGGTCGAGTGCATTGTAAAATATCCTAACTAAAAAACAATGCGTATAAAATAATACAAATTTCTGAAATTGCTTCCCAATCGGCACATCAGTTATAGGGATAGTTAATGCTAGCAACTGAGGAATAAAAAAGTGTGGTGCAGTTTAGGGCAGGTGGCTAAATTCAAGGCGAAAATGCAATTGATCAGCAGGTGAATGTTAGAACTACTAGCATGCCATCAGGGAACTGATGTAATATGACCTTCCATCGAAACAGAAAACTGATTGTTATGAACAGCTGTCCCAAGTAGGAGTATGCCACGGTAACAGTGAGAAGTGTTTAATCCTGAAAAGGTACCCCAATAATAGATATCCGGCAAACAAGATCTTTGAAAATCACTAAGGTTTGCATGCTCAAATATTTGTTAGATGATTTTTTCATTCATAATGGAGAAGGATGGACGAAAGTGGTTTAAATATGCTGCAGGCATATCCAGTGGCTTAATGTAAGTGAAAATGGTTGTCACTAGTAAGGTGGAGTGGGTTCAATGCTACAAAATAATATCGCATCTTCCAGACTGATATTTTGAGCGGCAGTATCCAGAAAGAAAAGCCCTAACAGAAACTCCGCTAGACTGCTTGTATGCTATGCTGGTTCCACTGGCATTTTGTACTTTGCTGCATAAGACCAGTAAGTGGAAACTGAAAGAGGTAACTCCTAAATGGTGCACCCCTTTTCAGAGTTTGGTGTGTCACCTGGGATAACAACTTTCGATCCTCATGTCTTTTATTTACGTACCGAATACGAAGGAACTGTAGAAGCCCAGGACCTTATAATATATTGTGTTGAATCGGCAGTAACAGTCCCAACAATGTTCCTTGCTTCCGGGATACGTAAAACCTCATAAGTATTATTTATACTATTTGGGCAGCCATTCCCTGAAAAAACACTGCACATAAAAAAAAAACTGCTATGTCCGGTGGTGATGAAACCAACATCTTACGTGTCTTCCGTCGTGCGAAATTGATGATATTCTGATGGACGGTGGAAAGAGGTATGTAATCTATTATACTCCATTAGTGTTATTTCTTCTCTACCAATGGTCGTTCCACCGGGGCTGCTCATTCCACACGAATGTACCTTTGATGGTGATTTAGTGGGTACAGAAACGATGCCGGACGCACGTTGTGGGATGTGTATCGTTCACATTCACATCACTCTCGTTTGAACAGTCGTCCTCCTGTCCTGGAGCAATTATTTTTGTGAATCCACACCGAAGGGGGGAAGTACTGCTAATGAGCTCCAATAAGAACGAAACTCGGGTTCAGTGCTCCCTCCTTTGGTGTGGATTCACCAGAATGATTGCGCCAGGACAGGAAGACAACCGTTCAAACGAGAGTGGCGACTGTGAACAATCTTCCGGACATTCACGGAATTTCTCTTCTCATCGTGACTGTCATTTTGAGGGTCACGCACATTGTCCAAGACATAAAGTAGCTATGCAAGGTGAAACTTGCTAGGTATTTTATTCACGTGCAGAATTTATGATTAATCGAAGGTTTAGTTTTGTCATTTACCTCTCCACGCCCTCTCAATACAGCTTCGACTAGGGCAGTGAGGATCGTGGACTGATGCTCCAAACATCCAATGCGAATAATGAAGCATCCAAGTGAAACGTTTTTATGTTCCTGACCACATGTCTAATATTTACGAGATACTGAGACTATTAGGTGTCGAAAATCTTTTCGTGTTTTTTCTTTGATTACTACATGGTGGGTCCTAAATAACTAAACCGTTAGGCTTCAAAGTGATCTTGCACTGATGTGGCGACAAAACCAAAAGCTAGGGCACAATTATTGGAAGATTCGCCCCGTGTATATCTGTGTTGCACGTCATTAAAGGTCGAATAAGTCTCATGCGATTCATTGTTCTAACACAAGACGAAAAACCGATCGGGGAGCAGACATGTAGCGCATAGCTCACAGTAAATCTCTAATAAAGCATTTTTCAACGACAATAACGATGCCCAAGTAAGCCCGATAGTGATGCATCAAGCACAATTCAGTAGTTAGTTGAGATTATCAGTAAATTGACGTTCGAATACAGATTGCACAACACGATGCGGCGCAGAACTGTTAGAGAAAATGGAAAATACGTCGGCACATATATGGCTAGAAAAGAGAAAGATGAAATCAGGAGTTTGCTACTTTGACAGAAAACATGTCGTTTTCTCTCTTTTGATGCCAGGCCGCTTTCGAATCAATGGAACTGGACGAAAGGCTCAGGTTGACTGGAATTTCCAAATCCCCACCGCATGAAACGCCCCTTGGATCGATAGCCCAGGGTTGAATCACGGTCGATGAACAACACACGAAAAACATGCCGGTTGCAAAGTAAACAGCCGTGCCCACAAAAAACACGCTGCGCCATTCATGGTAAGAACCCTGTGGATATAGACAAAGAAAATAAGTTGTACTTTCGCGAGCCAACTTCGGTCCTTCTCAAGTAAGGATAATCCTGTGAAGTTTAAGTTTCTGAATACCATAACATATATTGGACATCACTGACATATGCAACCAACAACGACTGAAGACTTACTGGCCAAGCAAGTCACACGAAAACCTCCAAACCGACAGTCAAGGTATTAGTCACCAAATCGAAGTCGATTAGTATGAGTAGATTGATTTAACTTGCCTCTCAAAGAGATTACGCAAGCGACAGTAAGTCAAGCTCCGAGTTGCGTCTAGTTTAGGCCTGGTGTGAAGCTAAGCAAAGGACGATACAGCCGCCCCTTACGCGAAAATCCGACAAAATAAAAATTAAGGATAAGACAATGATCGGCATGCTGTCCAAAAGCAACTTCACAAAGTTAGCTACATTATGAGGCTCTGTTTTTTTTCGTTAACAGAGGAGAGATGCAATTGGTTTGACGCCGATAACTGACAGTCTCTTCAGAGCTCCTCAGTAAAACAATTCACACCCGGAATCAGTATCATGTCATGTTGGGTAAAAACATGTAGCTGAAACCACATAATTCATGCAACACTTTACGCCAGAAAGGATTATTCAGTGCATGAGATCTAATGAAACAAATTTCTATACCATGAATATTCTGCCCCAGTAGTCATCTCGGAGGACTATCACGATGAACTCCTCAAGTGCAAAATACGTATGGGGCTGGTTGCCGCAGCCCGGCAAGGCGAAGTATCAATTTAGTGGGATGTGTTACTCGTTTAGGCTGACATTCACGCCTGAAGAATAAGAAATTCTAGCCGAACTGTTACAAAGCTTACAAGAAGAACGTGGGATTTTCAACCTTAAACAAGATAACAACACACACAAATAGACTAGCCATCTATGTTGGGTAGATGTGACATGGTTGTGATTCTTGCACCAGGACTTCCACCGCTACTTAAGGGAAGCGAACATAGCATGAATGGTCGGTATAATAATCTCTGGCATGAGGCCAGTCTCCAACAGGCAGTCGCTGGCAGCCACGGCTTGAAAGGCGATCGCCTTAGAGAGAGGCATCATAGGAAGATCAGAATTCTCCATCCCTATGGGGGAATCACTGTAGAGTGCATAAGTTTAAAGTATACCTCTGGTGAGAAAGAGGAAGTCTAATGGGAAGCATAAAGATAGTTGTTTTCTCAACATGGCTATGTCATGGGCTCACTGTAAGCTTGAAGAGTTAGGTCTTGATAGAGTTTTCCACCACGGCGACTAACGCACACACCAGCAAATTAAATTATCAGATAAAATCTGTCACACGTGACATACGTGGGGTGTCAGCACACCAGCCAACATAGGTGCAAATACCCCAGTCAACGCACTCAGGGTGTTTGCAGTTGAAAGGATAATCCCAGCATGTCTTGGACTGAGTTCGATTGGGTTCAGGAACCCACCAGCAAATACACCGCTATTGAACATTAACCCAAAGGTGAAGATGGCAACTACGGTGTACTTGTGCTGACAGTCGAGCAGACTAATCACGATCAGGACTACGCCGGGCACGAACATTCCTGGAATAAGAATGGTTAGGAAAAGCATGTGTTTCAAAAAGCAAGTGTACAAACAGATATAAGGAGTTTTAGCTACATTCAATCTCGTCAATCAGATAGAAGGAGAGGATTGATGCACGGTACAATTAATTTATTACACAGTCCCCCTTCGCTATAATGGCACTGAAGGCTTTGGAAAAAATGTCAGTAACGCGGCACGCCGGTTATACAAACTAGGTTCAGTCGCAGGTCTCCTAACTAATTAGAAGCCTTCTCCAAAGAAACATCACACTCTGATATTTAGAAAGAATACAGTTGTAGGAGATACCTAACAAGCCCTTCAGTTGTAAGGGACAGTGATTTTGACTATTTTACACCTCATTATTAGGGCAAGGTCTTTCGAGCAAATTCACGGCCACGTACCGAAACCCCTCACACTCTTCACAGAACCACACCACGAATTCAGGGGTTTCTATTTATTTCTCCTTAGTGGCTTTGCTGCGTAAGCTTTAGTGGCATAATATCCATCCGATAAACCTCAATGGTTAAATCGTCGCATTACCAGTAATGAAGTTCCTGTGTGTCACAAAGTCCTAGGGCGTTACTTTTGACCATGCTGGCTGGGCGGTGACGAGTCTACTGGAAGGACTTCCGTATACTCCATGGCATTTGATTAAGTCTGACTGCGATGTCGATTTTGATATCAGTAGTTGCTTGTCGACTACCCGTGTATCACCATGATGTTTTGACTGCCGGTTACTAGAAACATTTGTAATTAGAGTTGGTGACGCAGGCTTGCTCGGTTTACTCAGATTAATTTGCTGTTTCGCAACCATTCACGGCAACCCCATTAGGAGACCCTCTGTGGATAGACCACACTCTAGGAAACCAGTGGAAACGTTCATTCTCAGGTGTCTACATAATTTCCTATTTTGAAGGGGCGCACCTTCGACGTCCCTAGAAAATCCACAATTTTCTTCCGCCAAGAGCTTTTTGACTCACCAATGGATTCTACACTTCCCAAAAAACTGAACCTCTAATCGGCCCTTCTGGCCAGTTCAAACAAAGTTTTGTCATTACTACCAGAGTTTTTTTCTTACGCCCACATATCAAGTAACGATATCCAGCTTGAGTTTGGTCTTCCCAAAACCAACCCTTTAGCATCTCGATCCGAAAATTCACAGCCATGTTGCGCTTGGTAGGTAAAAAATGCCAATAATTATTTTTATCCAACAGTGCCTTGTGTGCAGGTGGACACATAAACCCCACTGAGAGCAGTTAATCAATGGTAAATGCTGCCAGTTAACCACCAGAAACCACGAAGAATGTTCCAACGAGGAATAAAAAGGAAGAGTGACCGTTTAGCCCGAATGGGTCTAATGTCCTTGGAACACACAAAAACAAGGTGCTCACATTTTCGAACAGGACTAAAATAAGCACAGCTAATAGCCATGTCGGTGCAAGATGTCACCTGTCATCCATTGCGAAGCAAACACAGCGCACAACGCCGCTGCGACATAAGCTCAGTATTCCGGCTAGATAGTGACAACATGGTCTTCAGTGTGACCGGTTACTTGCCACATCTGTTAGACTTTCCGAAAGTGATAGAAACCAAAGTTATTTTGTTACAATCACTTGAGATCTATCCTATCACTTACACCAGGATGTCGTTGGATATGAATGGAGATTGTGACAGCGGCGTTTCAAAAAACGGGAGCAACATACGCAGGAGACCACAAATGATGTTATCGAATGCTATTTAGGCCACCCAGTAACTCATGTTACTTGACTTGAGGGAACAACTGAAAATTCTGTGAATTCTCGGTCTAACCAGCCGTTAACGGATCCAGAGATTCATCTAACCGTTGATTAATAGTAAGATAGTTTTTCGTCGGACTAGCCATCGATCCTCTCATAGGACCAGGTGGAATATCGGTTGACATGTGGTACACAGATAACAGGCTAAATATAATAATCTACGCTAATCTAAGCCTCAATAAAGTCATGAGCTCTCGTCTAGCTGATGTTTTTAAGGTCCTGTTATACTGTATCATAAATGAAAGATTGCACTTAAAATTGGGGATCTTTGTTATGATTATCCCAATTTTTACACGGGTCAAGCTATGTCGGAGAATACAGGTTTTGTTGTTACGTAAGAGAATTTCTAAAATTACTTGCAGTTTGTTTTTTAACAACCTGGTCCATTGACGTAGGACACCATGAATTATCCCTGAAGATAATCCATCCCGCAGGAATCCAAAAAGCTCTTCCGATTAGATCGTCCTTCTTCTAGGGAGCATAATATCGCAGGGGCATACTAGATGTTGACCATCCGGTTGGGTGTAAAAAGGGGCAACCACACGATACCCATCACCGCCACCGCGTAACGTGCTAGGGACCGGTTGACGATTCTGAGCCTATCTTTCCACTTAGCGCCCAGAATTTAGAATGTCCCTGTTTAGTTACACCCCAGACGGATTATTTGCTTTACTGTTGAAATTGGCTACAGAGTGAAAAAGCTTTATTTAACCTCAAAATTCAGTCTTCTCGATTAACGAACCCCAGATCTTCCTACACTAGCAACATTCAGTAAATAACCCAGAAAAAGAATAAAATTCACCCGAGTAAATTATCCATCTGAGAATTTGTCACTCAAGATGCCAGTCAACAGGTGACATGATGTGGATTCCGTGCCTGAGTGCGCATTAATCACACTGCTGAATAACCGCTCGCGGCCAGCTTACCTGGAGGTAGCTGTTTCGAGACTATCTGAGATGCCTGATGCCGATGACTCCTGGAGAGGGTGAAACAGCTGCACATTGCTTCTCAGCTTTTCAACATAGACTGGTTTCACTTACAGGTCGAAATCTCGTAAATAATGCCTAATAACTGCTTCACAAATATTTCAAGCAGACTTCTACAGATGGACTTTCAGCTGGGCATTACAGTCTTACCTTGGTGCGTCTTGGCATTGATATTAAATCTCCACACAAAAACTGAAATGCATTTGTTTCTTCTATTGACTGAAAGTGAAGAGTCATGGACCAAGCACTTGCTGCATAAATCTTCGGATGGCATGGTATTAAAAGTCAACCGGACGTACTGAGACACCGAAACGGTAGAGTCCACCTGCTTACATGTCTAGAGCTGGAAGGCGCCATGAAATATCAAACAAAGTGTGAGAATCTATTATTTCTAACGTGGTTCACGAAATTCCAAGTGAAGCAGCTCCAAACATGTACTTTTGTGCCTTACCGACATTCCATTGTTTTGAATGGTTGCCACTGAAAATGATGGATGCTCGTGTGCTACTGCTGCTTTGACCTCCAAGGGAAACAGAATCGTAACGTGGGACAGTGTTGGAAAATAAACAGCGTAAATGACCTGGATGTTACATTGATAAAACATTCGCCTTGAATACACGTGTTGATGTCGGTACAGCTTCCATGACATCAGACAGTAGTCCGCGAAAATTCCACTAGGCACAAGACAACATGGCAGAATATGGCGAAGCTCAACAATAAATAATTCTACGCCCATCTCCAGTGCACTCACCAATCGCCGTTGCAGACTTTCGCACCACATTCACTGAAAGCAGCTTTCGAGCCAAAATCCAGTCAGTCAGCCAACCGGAGAAAATTTGGCCGATCAGAAGGCCAAGGAACGGTAAGGACGATAAACCAGCGTTCTGTTCGCAGTAAAAGGGGTGTGCCAAGAAAAATCAAAATAACCTGAAGTAAATTTATGTGGACCCTCCAGATGAAATCCACACAGGGAACCGGGATTACTGGTGCCCTCTGTGTCAATAACCCCTTAGATGAGGGACAGTAGACTGATTCTGAGTAACGTTTCCGTAAACGTTCCAGAGCAACCGTCTCCCCTCGCAAGAAACACTAATATTATATTATATAACCCTGTACTACGCTGCATCATACTACTTTACATTTTATTTACATCAGTTACACCGTTTTATATGATAATTATGCTCATATTTATACTTAGATTAGATTAGATTTCACCGTATTGTACCACTGTTTTATTACATTGTATCATATGATAGTGCAATAACATTATACTATATTGCACTATATTACCCTAGAGTATATCATATTGTCTTGTAGGAATGCAACATATTAAAACTCACTGATGTTTCGCTACCTTCGAACAAGGTTAAAATAAAACAGCACTGTTATTTATATCAAAAGACAAAAGTACGGCGCCAAAGACAGCAGTCCTCTCTAATCCAGATATTGTGCTAGTACGGCAAAGAAATTGTCAGTATTTTATTTGAAAAAGCCACTCGTTTGAAACCGCAACAAGGTGAAAAGCAGACTCACACCGCCCTTTTAGGCAAACTTCCTGAGAAGCTTCTCTCGTTCACCAGTCAGCTTGACTAACGCCACTTCCTAAACGCTTCTGGTCACAAACCATGTGCTGCATACACTTACTCATACCCCTCCGCCCGTGTGACCAACCTAACCAGCAAAGCAACCCACAAGGAGAGAATTCCCGTCGACTGACAATGTCGTGCGCAAGTGGGTTGGACCGATCCGCAGGCATCCTACAAACAAATAAGCATGCAACACACGTACTGTAATAATCCATCATGGATGAGAAACTTTATACAGACGGACTGTAAACCACGCTTGGTAAAGCAGTGCCACCGACCCGTCCCAAGGTGGGCGACTAATCGTTGGGCCGTTAGAAATTACGTATCTCATAGTTCAACGTGGATGATACAAGCACCTCAAAACGAGCTTAAGAACTAATGCTTGGGGAACAAACAATTGGGTGATGAATGTCAATGGAAAATGTATATAAGTCGCGGACTTCAGGGACATCAAAAACCAAATCAGTAAATTTAGCAATATTACTTCGTTTGAACGTAACAGTTAGGATAAAGCCATTGCGTTGGACGCATAAACAAAATCATGAGTGCTCCAGACTGTTATATGCTTTCTTGACTATGCGATATTTAACAAGCTTTTGTTCAGAAGGGTTCTTATTTGCCCAACGGCTGGGCATATGTATTTACGGCACAAATTTATGGTATATCACTAGCCAACCAGTTTTTCGGGAGAATGAAAGTTCCAAATTGTACGTACATCATATGAACTTGGTTGGATCAGCGGTTGTATTAAAAATACTAATAAAGTATGGAACAATGGAAAAAATTGGAGGCATTTGTTTTCCAGTTCATGTATTTATGAAGCACAGTGAACGTATGGCATGAAGCAAACATATTGATAAATCCCTCTCGCCGAAAAATTAATTTACAGCCTATTTGGTGATCAGCTGGCATATAGAGTTCAGAAGGACTCAGGCCCTAAATTTGTGCGACGACCCTAAGTATGGCGAAACCGGGAATGAGCTATTCAAGGGTTTTACGAGCCTTATGCGTAGAAGTGAGAAATTCGCTGTCATCCTAAGTGCATCAGTACCTCGACTGGAGTGATGAAGACTTCCAACCTGTCGTATTGATTTTATAAGTGCCAGTAACTTAACAAAAACACATAAAACGTACTAATAGTGAAAGGAAGAAGGCCTTCGCTGCGGAGTTATTTATTGGGTTATTGGACAAGGAAGCAAAACTCTAATTTGCATCTTATTTACAAAAACTGGACACCCATCTTCTCCTGAACGCGTCTTTTTGAACTTCCTTGGAGATTCATTGACTCCAATCATCCCCCGCTCAAATCCAAGCAAATGTTACAAAGCGACTCCACAAATTCCGCAACAGATCTCCCCTTTTCAAAAGGCGCAAAGCGAAATTCCACGAACAACACATATTACTCGCGTGTCTCCCCATCAGTAGTATCACCGTTACAATAGTATTGCTCAATCGTTGAATAAATTCAACCGACGAGATGCAGGGTGGCATTGTCAGACAACTCAGTGACCCTGCACACCAAGCTGTTTTGACTGACTAATCCGTCAAACGGAATGCCGTCTGGCTCGCCATGAAGTCGGACATAATTCATTAGAGCTAAGAACTATCACGAACGTGTTCAAGTTTTTGGCATATGATCAGTGTTATTTCGGCATCAACTCGGTCATTCTCAGAATGTTGCACACCCTAAAATTATCGCACAGTTGAAGTTTATCTGTCCCCGGAAGCAAAGAACATGGTACGGCCTTTATAATTCATCGGAAGGGGGCATCACAAGTACATTCACCACTCACAGTCTCCCAACCAGTGACGCAACATTCAACCGTCCGGCCCAAGGTTGGTGAGCAGTGTGATTAACTCGCACTCACGTCAGATAAAGTATTAATCTCACTTCATTCACGGATTCATACCAAGTGATTGGCTTCTGACAGGCTTTTTGAGTGACGACTTCTTAGCTAGGGGGGTTCACGCGACTCGTGAATTATTCTCCTCCCATAGCTATTTCGGAATAGTTGATAGTTCAAATCTCTCTGGTAGTTCGCAAGATGCGCACAGTTGATGGAACGGCTCTAGAGACTTTCCCGGCTCTTCGGTACAGAATGAGTGCATATACAGGATGAAATCCTCATTAAAAAGTTCCGAATTTCATAACACAGCTCAAAAAACAAGTTATGAGCACCACTATTGATAATTACTGAAGTTGCAACAATGGATCAAAGAAACTAGTTGCCTGCATTCGGTAGCCATTCATAATATCAGTAGTGTTGCACGAAACTCCATTGTGAGAAGCTGACCTTCGGCGTATAGGCCCGAATTTAGGAACCTTGATGAATTCGTCTTTCGCGATTAACCGCTTTATTTGATCCGATGGAGATTGTTTTGTGTTGTAGTACACAATGCAGGCCATATTTCCAGCCAGTGGCTTCTCTGTTAATCAAGTTTCACGTAAACAATTCTCCCGTTGCTCCGTCGCTTTTGAACATTGCAAACAGCTTCAGTGCTCATTTCTAAACACAGTCTCCCAAGCTATACGGATTTCTTCGAATGGGATTGAATCAAGTAATGTTGGAAATCTATAGCGCAGAGTGGGACTAAGCGGTCGCATACAAGTTCAAACTTCTGAGTGAGTTGTGGAGGTAGAAAGATTGAAAACAATCCCGGAGCTCGCGCAAACTCGTAATGTTCAATTTTTTACTCAATTTATCAGCTACAAATCACGTACTACTGGCAATTCGGTTCCGGCTGATACAGTTTCGATCACCAGAAAGTAAGAGTAGGTGATATACAACCAAGCCTTCGAGGGAATAGGGTAACTACACATTAAAGGCGATAGCGTCGATGTACGAGCACCACTGACTGCGCGCTTGGATCACTTATCCCTGTGTCATTAAACACTGGTATGTTGAGTCTTGGAATCATCTTCTAAGGAAACAGCGGCTGTCGATCCGAGTCAGTTTACTGGTTAGTGTTTTGTTTTCTCGTTGCGGGGCAATACACTCTCTGCGTCTTGGTTGACAGACCATCTGCGCCGATGGCCGCGTAGTGCTGGAGAATTGATAGCTCGTGTTTGCTTTCAGTTGCGGGCTAGTTCGATGTTCCCTCTCTGCGTCTTGGTTGACAGACCATCTGCGCCGATGGCCGCGTAGTGCTGGAGAATTGATAGCTCGTGTTTGCTTTCAGTTGCGGGCTAGTTCGATGTTCCAGTCGGGCCCAGTGCGTTACTCTAGCTGAGCTGTTCTTTGAAGTGATCAGCTCATCGCTAGAGAGAGCGATTTTGTGAGTGAATTGCCGTTCCGTGTATTTTGCTTCACTGACACCCGTCTTCTTTTGACCGGTTGACCAAACTAACTGAAATATAGGGCGGCAGTTGCCTGCGGCGAACGCCTTCTTCATCTCCTTGGCTTTCAAAACTTACCAGCGTACTGTCATTCTTCAGGCTCCTGATTGTCCGATGTTCGAGATATCTGCGTGCGCCACTACAGTTGCCCCTCGGTGGGATGGCCTTCCTGTAAGCAAAGATCTGCCGATATCGACGATATCCAGTGTTTATTTAGTCGCCTTGGACAACTTGCACAAACAGTTAGGAAAGCTGACAACATATCTTCTTTAACTCGCTTCCACTGAACCTTTCCTGCAGTCTTCGTCATCTGCATCTTTCCAGCAGCCTTCTAGCCAGATTAACTAGATACTCTTGAGTTACTGGAATTTTCGAAGTTGATGAATGGAACCGCCTTGATTTGGTACACGATATGCTGACAGAAATCAATGCGATAAACGGGGACCCAAAATGGAATGATCGGAGTCAAGCTGCGTAACCGCATAAGAAACGACAATCCCTAACAAAGGCTTCCATCCGTAAATGATAATCACATGGTCCGATTGAGTCCACGACCGACTTGGGGTTAGTGGCCTCCAAGTAACTTGATGTGAGCGTTTGTGTTGGAAGTTCTTACTGCCCGGGAATAGACGATGATCCATACACAACTGAAGCAGTCGCTCCCCATTATCCGTACGCGGGGCATCAATTCCAAATCCACCACCTAATTCTGCTTTCTCCCGGACTTAGTCGGCCAACTTTAGCATTCATATCACCCACCAGGATTACAATATTTGTCCTTCTTGCTGACTAAAGTAGTCACAGAAGATCTAGCTAAAACCTGCCCCTCTCGGTCTCAGAACTGCAGTCTGTTACAGCATCTGCTGATACCGCATCGGTCGGCATTGATGTTAATTGAGCCAGACAACCACACAGAGCTCATCCTAAGCGGCTTAAGGTGGACGACCGAAGTTGGGTCTTGTAGGCGCTTTTCGAAGACAGCGTATACCGACAGACAAAGAAAAGTTTCAGAAAAAATGCCTGTTGGTCAGTTTGACATAGAATACGGACATTAAAGTCTGCAGCGTAGAACATATCCATTGAGGTTAATGGGTGATTGTTTTGGTTTATTTTTCTGAGAGAAAGTTTAAACACGAATCAATGGCTACGGGGCTGGTAGTTTGGTCGCACTGCATCGTTCGACGGGTGGGGAGGAGTCGTAAAGGAAGGCTGGCGTGCAAGGAGCTGCAAAGGCGAACGATACTTTCCGGTTGTTACAGAAGGGGATGGATGTTTGGTTGAGCTACTCCGCCTTGAGCCTTTGACTGAAAAGTCGGACTTATATTGCTGTAGGAAGATGTGGAGTTTTGTCCTGGAACCCTGCTCCTAAATTCTGTGTCAAGAGCCTGAACCGCGAGGGGGGCCGTTGTTATGGTTTTCTTGGGGACACTTCCAGGGCCCGATGACCTAATTGTCTGATACGGCGTCAGGGGGCAGCCTGGTACGAGGACGCAGGGAGTGAAGCTTTACTGTATTACTCTTAATGCGGTTCCTTACATCAGGCGCCTTTTGAGCAGCACCGGAATCCTGAGTTTTAAAAGTATTTCGACCGTAGTAAATAATGCGCCGGCGGTCACGGTCAACCGCTGGGCGACTCGATTGTGCGATTTTTGTGGCCTACCTTTTCTAACCCGTCCTTTATCAGGAGGTATTTGGAAGAAGCGTCTTACTACCTTATACTCCTATCGTGAAGGACAGTATGACTTTACCTCAATATCGTCTGACCGTATTGATAATGCGCCGGCGGTCACGGTCAACCGCTGGGCGACTCGATTGTGCGATTTTTGTGGCCTACCTTTTCTAACCCGTCCTTTATCAGGAGGTATTTGGAAGAAGCGTCTTACTACCTTATACTCCTATCGTGAAGGACAGTATGACTTTACCTCAATATCGTCTGGTAATACGAGTACTCGGAGTACGAGGACTCACTGTTTTTCGTTCGGTTAGCTACCGGTTGGCCTTCTTGGCATGGTTGGCAAGAACTGATAGACGACTTTCATTTCGGTGTCATGCGAAAAATAAAACAAGGCTTGTCCCGTCTGGAAGATGCCTAAATGACAAGTAGGAAGTAGTGCCCTCTGAGATATGGTTTCTTCTGCGTAGTACATGAACGTAACAGGAATTTGGAATGGGCCTCCGTTAGGATGGTCTCTTCGAGGGGAACGAGTGAACACGATTCTGTTAAACAGTGTATGAAATACACGATTAAATCAAATAGTCAACTACCAGGTATCAAACACAAACTGAAAGAATATCGTATTCGTACGAATCAGGTAGACTGCCGCTCACTAATTCTATGTTCACTAGTTTTCACATCACAACACTGGAAGAAACTCAGGACCGCAATGGGACTGAAGCTCGTAAACTGTAGAGAAGCGGGCTGTTTTCAAACAAAATATAAGAAATTTACCTATTTTAGAAAGAAAATCATATATGACATATATTCGCTAAAAAGTAACCTTACATGGGATACCCCATTGTAGTACCTTCTGAATACAGAACTCATTTCTGCATACGCACAATGAATCGGGAGAGTTAAAATGTTGAATTGACAAGCTGCTAACAAAGGAGTGGTAATATCCACTTAAAGTGCTTCTCATCCACAATGCCTCAGATTTTTACCCTAGTCTGGAACATTTCCCAATAATTTGTTACGAGAATCTGGTAGTATATGTATTAGGTAAAAGCCATAGCACACATAAATACTAGATTATTAGACAACAATATCCAGCTGCATGAAGTAACACTTACCTCCGAAATATCAAAAGCCAGAACTTCACGCATGTACGTTGGTATGATTGTAAGGAACGTGTAATTGTTCCAGTCGTATCCGATAACAAACAGAAGGAAAGCCCAGAGCGGCAAGGATTTCACCATTTTCAAGACAGGTATCGGTGGCTAAAACAGTAAATAGTAATATGAGTGTTAGCATTTACACTAGAGAACATAAAAGGATGCGAAAATGGACTTTTCAACTATATTCCCGTCCTTATTGATAGAGTACGGATACGAACTGCATCCACTTCCCTCTGAACTCGACTCACCAAACAAACGCAGCCAGATAGTTTTCTGATGAACACATGGTTGGAATTTTGCAGCTCACATTGGTTAAATTGGCCACTTTGTTTTTTTTATTACTTAAAACTTGATCGTGATGACCTGTCAGGTAAAACATAATGAATGCCTATCAGTATTTAAATGACTGAATACGTCAACGGCTGCGTTCTGAAGAGGCTCGTTTAGTTTGTACCGGCTTTCCACCAGCCCTACTCAGAGTTTGATGTTACTCGTACGAATCACAAAGATTTTGACTTGCTCGAACCGAACCACACCACCCTCTGGGACTACAGAACCTAAAAGAAGGGCATTCAACTGACCCATAGGTCAAAATCGTTGTGTTTTGTTGATTTGTGCCAAAACGTCAGACAACAGATTTAAATCCAGCCGCAGTTTGGAATGAATAACATTAGGACTAAAACCCGGATGTAGATGGCAGCTGGACCGACCCGATTTGGCCACTACGTTTACCGACATAACATACCAGGACCTGCTGTGCATTCCCGATTGTATCACCATAGTTTTGTTTTCATGAAGTATGTGCTTACTGCTTGGTAATTGAAAATAAGTTCTGAGTGTGTCCAAGTAACTTACCGCAGTATTGCAACCAATAAAATTGAAGACACCACCGTGATCTTTATTTACCTTAATATACGTAAACATTGCACGTAAATGGACATAAGCAATATGGGTATAGCTACCGACTGACATGGACTGCTAACCGGTACTCGTAATATACTACTAGAAGCCAGGTGAAAAGTGCTACCACATCAATTGATAGTATTTATAAAAGGGTTGAGAAAAAGCCAACATACAACCCGAATATTGCAGAAATCGGAGGGAGAATAACTCGGAGTGGGGGTACAATGAACAGTGAATAGTTTGTGTGAACGGTTTGGGGTTTTGAACCTGAGGTAGTTTGGTGTCAAACTGTAGCATTCTAAAAGAACATAAATCTCCCACAACACAATGTCATTAACCGGAACGAATCCGAGTGACCTACGGTATTAGAGAGCATACGGAGAAACGATGGATGTCTTACAACTACCGAATCGATTGACATTTCAAATTCACTGCAATAATACTTGTCGAAAAAATAAAACAGTAGCCTTTGACTAAGCTTTGAAAGTTAAAAAGGAGAAAGTAACCCGCACCATTTTAGAATAGCAGGTAACCTGCCGTCACTGGTGTACTTTAAAACATGAAATCACAACTTTCCGAATGAAGTACTCCCTGATGTCACTGTAAGAGGAAATGCTGCGCACACATACTCTCCATAGTGGTTGTGTTATTGTCCCGAAGGATGTGCTCAAAACGGATGTGAGTGGTTCTGAATATCATCTAAGTGGGAAACAACATAACAAACTGGCAAGCATCATCCACACGTTATCGTGTAAAACAAACTACATAAGGAACACATTCGTAAACAGACTAGCGATTGCAATATCTCGTAAAAAGGTGAACGTAGAGTTGACCTGGCGGAAGCCATGGTTCGTATGTTTGAATAGCTGATTAACAGTAGGAAGGCGAGGCGTACACGTAGGCTATAGCCTTCAAGGTAGACAGGATACTGCCACATGCCGGTGCTATACCAAAAGCTCGTGAACTACTTCCAAAGGTGTATGTAACTGGATGGTCCCGAGACGATTAGGTACACATTGTTCTAATTTTGCAATATTGCTACTGCGCCTACATAAACGAGCAATTTTCACAGCTCCGTAACGTTGAAGAGCACTGAAATAGAGATGTCTGTACCCAGGCCTGGTGCGCAAGCTAAGTGGGCAAACCATCTGCATAAGGTTTGCTAAAATTGAGCAAAAGCCCTTGAGTGGATCTGTAGTAATTTTACCGTATAGCTCTAAATGATAAGACGAATAAAATGACGATAAACACGACAAGATAAATGACGGTTGAAGAAAAATTCAACGGCATGTGAAATCAGGAGGCGGAAAATGTAGTCCACCTACGTGCACTTCCCAAAATATAGCAGTTTTCAGTAGTTTCTCTGGGCCTAAAATGTGAAAGAACTTATCACATGTCGTTGCAAAAATTGGTCCGAAGAAATGTTGAAGGCTGATTAAAAAGCACCACTTATGCCATAGTCACGCAAAATGTGGTTTGAAATCGCAAACTTCAAGGTTGTCCATTGTTGGGCGTGCCTATGACTGAGGTTAGATGGGCCTGATTCTATTCAGATGTGATTCTGAGTGAAGTCGGTGGGTTAAAACTTTCAGGTGGATTTTCATGTTAGGCTCTCGGATGTTAGAGAGTTTCTTCCAAGTGAGCATGTACAGTGTCATTCAGGCAAGAAATTATCAGAAATTCAGTCACCAAATAGTGCGCCATAGTGACTGATTTTGCCGTGATAGTTAAATGTAAGTAACTCAGAGGAACAAGCGGGCTGACGCAGCTGAACCACAGTGCGGCCCTAATTCAAAATCAAAGTTCCCCATAAACATTAAGGGAGAACGTCTGCTGGCCCATAGACTATTGAGAAGTGGTATCGGTAACACCTAAAGAGCATATCAGGCCGCAGTAAATCTTTTAATTAAAGCATCCGAGTGTCTCTTCTACCCGAATACCCTTACGCATCCACTCGTATCGCCCGAAGATACAGGTCAAAACTAAATACCCAAGTTCAGAGCATAATATCTGATTCTACGGACACGTACCGCACGTTCCTGATTTCTTCCGGCGTTTCCGCACACGGCCAGCAAAAATTCCCTTTCCTTATTTGAAACCCTTGGGTTTTCTGACGGTGTGTCGTAGACGAAAAGTAGCCAAAGCATGCAGTAGGCAAGGCTACATGCCCCTACAAATTCAAAAAGAGTATGTGAAACGGATGGGCAGTTCTTAAGAATGAAAGGTGCCAACGGTATGCTTCCACAAAGTGGGTCACGTTAAACAAACAAATACAAACCGCGTCCAGGTTTGAACATTAGCTAGCGTTGACACATTTATTAAGCTAAGGCATACAATGTTCGGAAATCTCGTGAATGCGAAAAGCTACAAAAATTGCGGATCTAGATAAAATATGAAGGTTCAGCTGCACCCGGTCCAGCTGCAGATGACATGGCAAATTTTTTTCTCCTCTCCAGAAATATCCTGTTTCGTGCACGATGTAGATCTGAACGGGGACAGGAGCTCATCAAATAACTGTATCGCCATAGCTCGTAATCCAACAAACCTATATATCATTAATGTAGCTCCGATCACAGTTGGCGTCATTTGAACCAGTGTAAACAGCCGTTTCACCAGTAAATTTCTTGGTTGGAAGATGAGTGATCATCCAACTATCGTCTTAGCTTCAGCGCATTTACTCCTATGACAGACCACAATGCAGTGGTCATCTGAAACCTGTTACTATAATAGGTCCATGCAGGTCTGGGCTATTTGCTTGCAGCCAACCGTATGCGTTGGAGTCACTATTCAACTGTGTAGTTGCACACCACTGTTAACGCCGACTACCACTTACGTCTTGGTAAATGGGAACTAAGTACACAGTCCAGAGTGGAAGTCTGCAGGCCACAGAAGTAGAATTAGCGCAAATTAAAGTCAATCGCTCATTGGCGTGATTTTTTCAGTGCATTCTAGCAAGCAGGGGAAAATAATCTACCAAGCGCTACCCATCGGCAGAGGACGTCGAGGCAAGTGTATTGCTGTGCAAAAAAGCACTGATCAGACTCAATATAACAACAAAAGTAGTTGTCTCACTCACCATAGAAATAAAATACCAGGGGCCATCCGACTGAAGTTTGGCAGAATGCACCGGTCATCGACAGAGCAAGCGCATTTCCAATTTGCATTCCTATAAACAGTTAGACAGAAAGCAAGTTGAAGGTGAACGATATTTCGACCTCATCTGAATGTATCAACGTGAACAGCCACATTAGGCTACAAAGCAACTCGGTACGTCCAGTACAATGAGCTCATTTCCCTTGATGGGCACTAGTTTGGTTCTTCACCGCCGTCACACACAAGTGTGACCACAGATCACATAGACAAAAAATAATTTTATGGGGTCGATTTCTTCCCGATTGGTCAAGTTGTTCCGTTCTTCCAGCTCCATTTAAGGCCTCGCACCGTCTTGTCGAATCCACAAAAGCGTGGTAGTTATTTACACACGGCCCTTCCTCCTGCAAGGATCACAAGCTAGTAAAAGTATGTCTGACGGCCACGCACCGAGCGGACAAAGCGCGCGGCTAATTTTTCTGAAATTCGAATGGCTGCTCATGGTTAGTTTTTTTACTACTTTAGAACGATAATCTGTCCTCTGAATAACATCATTTGAGAGTTACGCTTAACCATCTACGTTATCTACAGACAACAGTCATCCTCGATAGAATAATGAGACCAGTAATCACTCATGGATGAAACTGACGAACGTGACCTAATCGATAAAACCATCCAAAAAGCCGAAAATAACTTATTTTGGTCAAGGCCTATGATCAAACTTGACATCTTTTTCTTCGAGTTTCAAGTGAGAAGTCTCCGATATATTCAGTAAAGACAGTCTACAAGATCCACAGAGTTCATGGTACGAATTAAATGATACCGTCAACTTGAAAGTATACTCTACAAAGAGATGCAATCAGCCTTTCTGTATAGGTGGTTCATCTATGCGTGAGCACTTAAATCTAAGTGGATTTTTCATGTAGAATTATTAGCTTGATATGCACGCAGAAAAATACCAATGTGAAGGAAAAATGCAAGTCAACACTGTGACTCTTTAAATGCATCGCGGGATTTGACACAGCTGTTGACTCGACAAATAAACGGTGAAATTAAAGCGAGATGATCCAGCTGCCTTCCGTTAGGGTCAGAAATTGAACTGATGAGCTCGGTTTTTGAGACGTAGTAAAAAAGTATTCTCAGGATTTTTAGTCCATTCGAATTTAGAATACTGGAGACTTGAAAGAATACGCTGCCAAAGCCCATTCGCAAATTTTACGAGGAATAACTCACCACCAAATGACACGCCAACCAGGACACCACGCTCAATGGGGGGAGCCCAGGAAGCCCATATTTGGTAGAATCCAGGAAACCATGCAGACTGTGAGGAGGATGAACAAATCAAGTTCGGCGGTAAGGTCTCAAACTTTACCAGTCGAGGAAATAAAATGAAGTATGTGAGTAGGCAAACGGAGGAAAATTCAGAAGCGTGAGCAATTCAGCGTAAGTGCTGAATCACAGTTTTGAAAACCTCAATTGAGGGACCATCCCGCAAAAGTCAAATCGTTCAACCGCGACAAAACCTCAAAGCGCAGTCAACATACAACCAAAGTAAAGCATAGGTTCTAGGTGCTGCCAGTCAAACTTATTGAAGCTTCAGTAAGCGTTGGCCTAAATGATGAGATCGCTCGATCCGACGCACTCGGTGGTGCAGGAAGAATCTCGTACCCTCAAGGAAGTTCATGCATGTGCGTTTCACGGGAATACAATGGTCTCCTTTCGGGGGATTAAGAAATGTTCCTGTCTGATTGCGTTTCCCCGGCATACATTGATTTACTAGAGGAACAATACAGTTGACCATAGGTGCTCTGGGTAAACACTGGCAATATAGGATTTATTTATTTCATTACGGCTAGAGCAAAAATTTCACTCATTGAGTTGAACACATGCTAGTTCATCCATGTGGACACCAGTTCCAGTCACACGAGGATATTGAGTGCCATTTTGGGATGAATGCAACAAGAGAGGGTGCATATACAAAGAAAACGAAATGTAGCACGGTGGTAACATGACATCGTAAATATTAGGAACTTAATATATATCAAGTTACCGAGAGTCGTTTCATCGTTACTTCTATGACTATGACCTAACGAATGACAGTCAGCTGCGCTGACTCATGAGCAGATTTGTAGGCTTTAGTTCATCAATCATTGTTGTTGTGCATTTCGGGACCAGAAAACAGTTTTTCAGTGGCTTCGGGTTCTCCTCAGGAGGAATGTAACGGACGACATTAGGCTTAGTCATTTTCCCTGGAGAGGAAAACAATGGACAACGTTTGGTGTCATCAGTTTCATTTCCCCAGAGGTTTTTCAAAGAAGCTTTACTAATAAGCAGAAAAGCAAATTATTGAAAAGCACATCGAAACTTAAGAAGGCCAAACCCGGCACAAGCGCCGGTAGCCGCTTGTTCATAAGCGGACGGACATAAAGCAGTCTGTAAAATTTATGTACCGCATGTATGCGAAACTTCAACATAAAATAACAAACTTCGTCTGACTGCTCCACACCTACTTCCATATAGCAAACAACCGTTGTGCTCCTGATCCCGTAATAAAACCAGTCTTTGATTCAGCTGTGAAACAATCGGCACATTATTAAGCCCAAGCTGCATATCCGTACATCACTGATGACTAAAAATTGTCGTTATTTGCCATATACCAACGAGTCTGAATTAAAAAATATCAGATATGACTCTACGAAGAACTATGGTGTAGCTCGAATCAACCCTAACCGTAGGCATGCGATGATGACTGGTCATTGTGACCAACTCAGCTGCATTGAAAGTGAAGCTCAAATCAGCAGAAATGCCAGGAAGCTAGAGATGTTAACAAAGCAACTTCGTTCAAACAAATTTGAATATAATCTTCAAAAGGGTTGTTAAAAGCTGTCTAACTCGAGAAAATTCCACTTGGAACTCGCAAAATGGGTCGTGGAAGCGGAAATAAAGTCAGCGCCTTCAGAACACCGCTAACGAACGGTGACCCAGCTCTCGGGCCGGAACCAATTCGTGACTTCCTGATTAGCTTCCACGAAACATGTGATTATTAATCACAGGTAATGGGATAAACCACTGGGTTTTTCCGTAGATAGCAAGCTTGCTACCTTACAATGAGGTTTGTAGTAGGATTAGGTGCTAAAACTCCTGACATTCAGTAAGTGAACTCTCGTGGTGGATCCAACACTGATGGTATTTTCAACTCCCAGAAGAACCGCAACAGTGATTTTGCATGAAAGCGACACGTCAGGTTCTTTGAAATTTAAATTAAGCCGACAGGAGTTGTGTGACGTGAAAATCACCTTTGAAAGCAGCGTTAGAATGTAACTGTGACATATTTGTGGTGATAGCTTACATGAGATTATTTCATTTAGCTAAGTTTGGAAATTAAATAAAAAGTGCTTTTTATACCAGATCTCTCTTCAAGCATTGGACACAAATCAATAATGTGATCGACCGACGGTAGAGAAGAATGGCAAAGGTTCCGGAATAATACTAATAATTAGTCGATAAAGATCGAACATGCCACCTAGCGGTGTTCGATGAAATAGACTGACAACCGCGAGTGAGATGGCGCTAACAGACTTACGGATACAAAGCCAGAAACTATCCGGAGAACATAGAGCAGATATACACTGTACATCAGTGCGAATGGGATGAGTGCAGTAGCAGACCCAAATACAATCAGATTGATCAGCATTGTTCGACGAGCGCCGAACCTCCGAAGTAATAAGCCACTGGGAATTTGCCCAGCTAGGTAGCCCCAGAAGAAAACACCAAGAATATGTCCGCGTGTCTGTGGATCCCAGGCAAATGGACCATCCTCCATAGTTTTCTGCGCACAAAAGCAAGAAATAAACAGCTTTTATCCAATGGAATATTGGGTCGTTTGAAGAATTGCAGGAATCAAGTAGACAAACTTTCTGTTCCCTTCAGACTGACACCTGTATGCACCAGAACCTAATAACTTAAACATTTTGTAAACACTTCTGGGATGGACAGTAGTCCAGCAACGGAATACATCATTAAAGTGTAACAAAGCAGTGCCTAAGACTAAAAGTGGATGTTCAGAAGCATATATAAGTGTCAAATAAGTCAAATATTTCAGAGCGAATTCTGATACTATAACAATGTAAAACATTAGAAGTAAGATGATGTGCTTCTATAGTTTTGACAGAAGCTGCCCTATACGCAACTCAATGCCAAATGCTCGGCATTTTACACGGATCCGTTAAAATTCGTGAATTTTTCAGTCGGTTAACAAGGCAGCTTGGCAAACTAGTGGCCGAGAAGCTACCGCTACGGTCCAATTTTAAAAGTATCATGTTATTCATGAGAACAAATGCGTGAATATAATCGAATGGTACCCAGAATTGATAAGATCGTTCGTTCCAAAAACCTGGACTGATTTGATAGAACATAGCCATAGAGTTTAACTCCAAACAATTCAAGATGAAGCTTCTTCAATCTGATACAAAAAATTGTTTTATTCGAGGAGTACGAAATCTTTGAAAGGTGCGGTTTTGGTATGCACAGAACCCCACGCACAACATAGACGAAGTCAACTTATTTGAGATTAGTTCTTGAAATTTACAGGATCTTTTCTGTCCCTGTTCAACCAGTTAATCACTAGACTTGTAGTGGCACGCTGTTGTAATGCTCGTAGGCACAACCATTTCGAGCCTCTGTAAGCTTCCCAAAAATGGTTCTGACAGGCCCATGATTTGGGGAGCGAAAATATGAATCGTGTTCATAGACCTAAACTGAAAAGGTATATGCTAGGCCTCTCCCACTTACCTAAATTATGCGCATAGCCTGAGAAAGCAAGCAAAGGACAGCAACGATTCCTGTCATAAGTTCTAACGAAAGGTAAACCTATGCATAATGTGAAACTAAGGAACGGAAACCCAAAAGGAGAGGAAATTAGTTACCACAAGAAACAGTACGGGAAGTCTTGGCTTGGTGTTGACAAACTATTTCCGGAACGTTGACTTGAAGGCTACATTGTTACACTCTGGAGAAAGTATCCTTAAAAGAGGTTAGAAATTGAATGCGAATACTTCTATTTGGTCACTTAAGGCGCATATTACAGTAGTAGATGCACCTTCGGAAAAAATCATCCAGCGGAAACGATTTCTGTCGGTCTAAAGCTGGTTTCAGGGGACTGGAGTATAAATCGAGAAAATGACATTTTATGATCTTCATTTGGTGTACATTCAGCACGCCTGCTGCAAGTAGTTAAATATTTGCGAGTTCACTATGGAGTAGCAGACGCAATCTATTTCAGCACTAAAGATACGTAGTTGGAGTAATTCAGCAAGGTTTTTAGTACGAAAACTATGTGGAAGGGTTGAGCTAGAAACAAAGTTACAAGTGGGACCAAAAGGTATCCAAAAGGCATTTCGAAATGTCTCCACATTTACCCGCGGGATGGATAAAGCACGAATTTAATGACCGGAAGGCTCATGGTTCGAACCCGACATCTGTCTCTCAAATTCCTCTGACTAGGCTTGGGCAACCTGGCAGCTCCTTTCTGGTGGCATGGAAGTTAGACACCGAAAGAATGCCACAGATGAACGATTTTTTGCTAGCAAAATGTAGCTTATCAATATCACAAAGTCTACCAATCATTTTGTTAGGGTGATTTTAAGCTGCATTGGGTTCGCCCAGTTGGCCAGTTCGAAAGGTGCCGTAGGCCGCTCTGGTGTGACAATTTTTTGAGCTAGGCAGTGTTTCGGGGACAAATCGAACAGGATCGGCTACCTATCTGAATACCATGTTTGTCTAGTCACTGACTCACAGAAGCAAATTTGCCCTTCATAGCAGCGATAAACAATCGCTTGGCTGAAAAGAAAAACATTCTCATGAATGTAGACAATGAGTCCCAAAAGAGTGAAAAAGCCTATCCTCTGTTCAAATGACCTATCTGAATCGAGCAAAGCTACGTTAATCCGCGGAATCAGTAACGCCTGATGAACTGCATCGATCCAACTGTGCTTTCAAAAGCAAGTGAAAATTTTCCGTAAGTACAAAAACGGAAAGAGCTGTTCAATCATGAGACTTTCGACGCTTACACGTGGCTGTGGGGTACATCAAAGACTGGTGGGCGATTTTGAGGAGTTTTAGGGTGAGTACGATCAGGAGATAGGGTACAGAAGTCCACTACTGAGGAGTAGGTAGGTGTGCTTGGCGTCAGATGTCAAATTCAAGAACGCAGCACAAAGCCGCCCTTGCAATATCCACAATTTTTTCTTGCCTTCACGAAAGGCTCTCATGAGCATCTTAGGCAGAGATAGATTTCGTTAACATTCTTCGAGTGTTGAGGGTGTTTGCATCGTGTCCCATCAACGTGTTTTGGCAGGGCTTCAGCACCAATTGGGGCGGAAAGTACATCCATTCCCAAGCTATAATCACTTAACTTCTCTGTTCCCCTTAGACGTAGTACAGATGGTAGCCATCTAGCAAGATGGAATCGATGACGATCAAGTTCAGTAATAAAAAACGAAACCGACCATAGTTTGCACAGTCGCATAAGTTTTGCTAGACTGTCAATTCATTTAAAGTCGAATGGTTGTTGACTACCTTGTATTCCTTCAGGTGGAAAATAATTTAAATGTGCGTTCATGCTATCTGCTGTGGTTACAAACCAAGAAGCGGGATACGGAACAGCGGACTGATTGGAATAAAACAAAACAGGACCTTGGCCCCCACACTGCAGTCACCAGAAGTGTTAGTTTCAACAACAAAAAGTGGTTGATTTCTGGGTATTAACTTTGATCCTGCAGCTTCCAATAGCACAAGCTGCACGTACGTGCAAATATATGGCCCCAGGAAACCTGCAAAAGACTCGCTGTCTGTAACTAGACGTTGTTATTGGCTCAAACTTATCTTCCTTCAAACGTCACCTCAGTAGCGTAACATTCCCTGGTCATCTGAGAACGTGTGAAAGTGTATGCAAAATGGTCAACCTTTGGTGAAAACAGCACTTCCCTGCGGTAGCCGTCGGTTTGCAACATTGGTGACCATTGGTTCCAGCAGTCGTGGACAGTTCTAGATGGTTTTTCGCACTAAGATCTCAGTTTTACAACTTGTTTCACAAGCAGGATGTTTCCTCATGATGGATTACAAGTGAACGTTCCTTCTGTGTCGCTCAACCTTAGAATACTCCTTGAATTATGGGGTATCGAAGATTGCAATAGAATGCCCACACAGAGCAAGCAATGGCACAGGACACTGCTTCGGTCATGAGAGGGGCATGTTAAGCTATGTTGTCTTGATAGTGACCCCTGGTATATTCTAACCTGACGGCGTAGTAAACATCAACTGAATGTTGGATGGCTTTGGACTGTGACAGCGGTTGAATGCACACAGTCGGCTTTCGGGAAAATTTCGCTCGAAAAAAGAAACGGTTGTTCTACTATTCGAAATGTTGCTCATGGTGTATGGGCAAATTTTCCAGAAAAGATGAAAGTCGACATTTTTTCGGATTTCAGAAAGTTTAGAAACCACTACCAAGCGGTGGAGCAGCCAAAATTAAGAGATGTCTACGCCTCGGATGGTGCTCCGTAGAATTCGATCAAATGGCATCCTCCAGTCCAGTTTGTCTCGTACTTTATTAAAAGTGATGAGACCTCCATCTGAGGTCTAGGTAGAGCAGCTTGTGCGCACATACGCTAATGACTCAAGCGGTCGAGCTATCCTAATACGGAACGTGAGCCACACCCGTCATCAGAGATACATACTTTTCGATGTTATCAACTTGTTGTTACTACGCCCGTTATTTATAAACGTTGAGTATTTTTTGCTTCCGACTGATAGATGCAATTTGAAGCGTAAACACCTCATCCCTTCCGTCTTCCGAGTTATTCCTGCATACTCTGTTCGGAGTGTCAGTTCCAACACGAAGGATTCTCGTAAGTATTACCCGAGCGCGAAAAAAACTCATTCTACAGCAGCAGTCTATAGAACCTCGCTGCAAAATACCTCTCACTTGCTTTGCAGTACAATGAGGAACAATTAAACTTCCGAACATCACTAATAGAGAGGGGCTTGCCATAGTGCGATGGTTTGTACACCCCCACAATCCATCGAACTATCCTGAGAAACCTTCATTCCAGGCTGGTCACTGGGTGGAGGTCCGACAAACTCTGTCTCCGATCACGCCATGGTGCGTGGACTCCTGGCAGTTCTTTTCCCTTCAGGTCTTCGCAAGTAAGAAGCATGGCAATCTACCATCTTCGAAGAACTATCATAGCTCGACGGCAATCATCTGAGTCAGCCTAACAACTTGTAACAGTCGACCAACACTGCACTGGTAGTAAGTATGTGGATGAAGCATGGCAACGTGAAAGAAGCCATGCTAGCGACATTCACTGTTATCTGTCCGGCTTCCCCGATACGAGCAAATGACCACTGGATATTGTCAAGTCCTAACTGATGCCAGGAAATCCGTTCCAGCAGACAGGAGTACGACGGGGCATACAAATTCCTCAAACACCAAACAGCGAACAGCCCAAAGAAACACCGAGAGCTCTGGTGGATATCGAAAGCTCAGGAGAGGGAAAAGGCCTTTACTACCGGAAACATCTGTGCCCTATACCAGCTGGTTCGATCGACTGGTCTAGGAAAATAACAGTTAGTGGAACGAAGAATGAAAAAGGGGATCATTAATTCACTCGCGAAAAGCTCGACAAGAAAGGCGAACCGAACACTTAGACAAGCAGTTTAACCGGTCTCCTGAAAGGCAGCTTCTGAAGATAGAGCATAGGCGCGGATGGATATGAACGTTAATCGCCCGTCAGAAAAATAAATAAGGTACCAAATACCCATAATTAAACGTAAGGAGGTTCCAGAACCGAATGGATTGTATCCAGTCCTGTTCAAAGAAGGCTGAGAATCCCTGGTGACCTACCTAACAAAGCCCATTAGTGCAATATGGAGTAAGCAGCAAGTGCCTGTAAAATTAGCACGTCGACAGTTATTCTTATTTTCAGAAAGGGCACACGGATGCTGTCTGAAAACCACCGTGAAGTCAGCTGGTACCTATGGCACTGAGGATGATTGTTTGTTTGTTCGTCAAATGTCAAAACAACGGCATGCGTGTAGGCTCCCTATAAGCCTAGTGTCCCTTGATTCTGTCGACCGGTTTGTTCTTATAAAAATGCGTGTGCAGAGGGATATACTCAAGAAGTTCGCAAATATCATACGCTGTGTTTATCCAATATTTGTGGGCGCGTGCCTTTATGGTAAGCCCTTCAAAAGCTTACATACAAACAGCTGTGCCGAACGACGTTATCCGTCCTCTTCATTTTTGTCTACATTAGTCAGTGATGAGGTAGGAATGCGAACTCCGATAAGTATCCACAGTCCCAGTGTTCAGATCTCTCCTACTGAAAACTACACATATTTGAACTACGCAGGAGATTTTGTCCGCATTTTTAGAGGAAAGCAGGAAGTGCAAGCATCACTACAGAAGTGAGCTAAGTTAGCCTATTCCTGGCCTGTCCCACACCCATGAAGTTTAAGGCCATGCTGCGGATATGTAGTTTTTGAACATGCTCCTGGGAACTCAGTGGGAAACATTGGAAGCTCTAAAATCCTATAGGTATCTCGGAAGTCGTGTTAGCTCTAAGGACAGCATGGTAGATAAAACGGATATTTCACGAATATTTCAAGGGATAAAATTGCGCACGCCGGTTGGCAGTCTTGTGGCACCAAAAAGATATACCCCTGTTCACGAGGGACGCGTGTATCAAACAACATCATCATCATCGACTTGCGCACGCGGCAGTCTTGTGGCACCAAAAAGATATACCCCTGTTCACGAGGGACGCGTGTATCAAACAACATCATCATCATCGACAGCACAGCATCAGTGCTCAACACCGATGCTTCACTGCCGTACAACCATAACTTATTTGAAAGCCTTATTGCAAAGAAAGGAGTAAATGTGGATGCGAGAGGGACTTAGTGCTAGCTTATAACAATCATTCCGAGGTGCCTACACCTCCAGACATTCACTCAGGCAATCTGGATAGAAACTGACTACAAGAACTCCACTGACATCGGTTGGCAGCCATATCTTGTAGTGTCTCCAACCAGGCACAGTGAGGATCACGCGGTCCCCATCCTGGGAGGCGAGTAGCACCGACAGCACCCAAGCGTTTCTTGATCTCCTTCATACTCCTCTGCCAAGTCAAGGGTTGACCACCTCTCTGTTTACGCCACTCTGAGTTGG